ATGTTTTTTTGTTTTTTTTTTGTGACATCATGTGCACACTCTGTTTTCAAGTTATGTTCTAACTTTGCCTAAATGTTCTTATGTTAGGAAGATTAAAGAAAGACTGGCAGGCCTAAGGACAATGAGCGTTTGCACACAGCAGACTTTGATTCATTAACTTTTATGTCGAAATAAAACTTTTAAAGACATAAAAAATCTTTGCAATTGGTAATCCTGAGCACAGCTGCACAATAAATTGAATTGTAGTCGACATTACAATATCAGTGTGTATAATATCGCAATCACAAAGGACTTTGAATTGGGCAAGCCATAGGATTGAAACTACAATTGCCAATAATGCACCTGACTACTTGAAGTTTATTTCTTCTTTAAGTCAAGCGCCCAGCTTCTAAAATCTTAAGGGGCTTGAACATATCATGCTGTTCAATACGACAGCAACTCTGTCAGGTTCCACAACCAGACTCCAGGGCTTGTTACTGAACCACAACAGATCAAGAATTCAAGCTCTTGACTGGAGACTTTCTTCTGAACAAAGCAGTTTTACTGACAATGCAGGAGAACGTGTGCAATTATCAGCCTGCACCTGAAATACATCTTAGTAATCAAGATCTTGGGTAACTAGTGGGGACATTGGGATCACAGAAAAGAAAGTGACTGTGGAGGAAAATGTTGGTATCATCATAATATTCTTTCATATTATTACAATGGCAGGTGTTCTGAAAAAGTGGAATAAGTACCACTGATGGTTTCAGTGCTTCCCTCAGAGGATATTGTGGTTGCAAATGTTGACAAGATAAACAGTAGAGCAAGACTGATCAAACCTTTAACCAGGAAAAAGTGCTGCTGGAAAGTTATGCTGTGTTCCATCAACTTGTGGATTTAAAACTTGGATTTACTCAATTTAGCCATGTTTTAGATCCAGGTCCCTTGAAAAAACCTGAACCGGGAAAAATCTCTGACTTTTCTATGTTGAATTTCAACTGCTACCGAGCTTTCTTCAACATTTTCCAACTTCAGACATAAACATTCTCACTTTTGTGTAGAAATTAAGTTCACAATCAGTGAGCTTCATTTAAGATGTGACATTGGAGATGAATATTACTTTTGTTGATGTTTGTATGGCGAACAAACGCAAAGTGAAAATTTCTTCTTGTCCTGTTATACAATTACTTTTTAGTTTGTGGTTCTTAAAAAAAAAAAAACTCGGGGTGACATTAAAAGTTGAGAACCACTAATCTAGAGTTTATTAAATATGCTTTACAGAAACAGAAATGTTTTAGGATAAATCAAAATTCTCAACACTTTTTTGTGAACAGAAGTGGAACTGTTCTTCCCGGTGTATTTAAGTCATTTTCATAAAATCTTTATATTAAATTGAGTTACATTTACATATATTTCTCCAACAGACAAGTGGTCAGTTATCTGCATCTGATATCAGATCAGAGAGAGTGTTAAGGTCCGGTCTGACTCAAGACCATCGTCTTCTCTATACACATTCTATCATGTCCATTAAACTATTGTGTCAACAGCATAATTCTAATGGACCCCACAGTGAATTTTGATAAGATCTAGCAGCATTTCATCTTGGCAATACGAGCAGATTGCTTGCCGCTTAATCTTCTCTGTTCTAGCTAAGGGTTTGGAAAACATTCCAGTCAAGCAGAAACGTGAACGTAGAATGGGAATCAGGCCCGGGGGCAATTCTCACTAAGTGGGGAGAGAGCCATTAAACAAAGGTGCCTGTGGTTTCATATTCAGGATACTTTACAACCTCCGTCCCAGGACATCAACACTGTTTTTTGGTGCGCTGCTGGAGGGGGCAGAACAAGGGGGAGGGAGGGGGATCCATCTGCCACGCTACTGGTCCTCAGGGAGACGGGGATATCCCTGGGGTGTTTTGGAGAGAGAAGGCCTGAAAGGATTACACCCAACCACTAATCAACAACGCTAATCTGAGGGCCCCCACATAAACCCCCCCCCACCACCTTCAGACTAAACCACAATTTGGGTTGGGAGGATAATATTTTACAGCTCTGCAACTTCTTGCTGATTATGTACAATCCGAAGAGGACAAATAGAAGAGGTTATCCTCACTGAGAAGAATCAACAGTAAAGTTGTGATTGGCAATGAGCCACAGTGTATCTGTGATCAGGTGCGAGCATCCCACAAGTGGCCTCATCTGAATCCCAGTGTGACCATTATGCAAATAGACCAAAGAGACAAGCCTAAAAAATAAATTTGGTTAACGGATGAAGCCTTATTCTGATTAAAAATAACAGAAAAGTGTGTTTATTCTAGAGCATTAACAAAATTATTGTAAATATATGTATATATAAAAATCAACAGATCAACCTAATTATGAAACAATAATAAAACAATGATGTTGTTTGTAAAAGAAAGAAAAAAAAAGAAACTGTATTCCAGAAAAATGAGTTTCTCTGTAATCCTGCTGCAAAGTTATCCCTGCAGAGCTGTTACCTCTGAGCCTCATCCAAATGTCTCTTCACAGGATGAATCGACTCAGGGTGCATCTGTCTTGGCCGGTCACAGAACCCAGAGAAAGAAATGCTGGGAGTTACATTGCCATCAGTTTTGTCTTTGATGTCTTGAGGAAAGGTGGGGTCTACTTCTGGCACCGATGAATTTAAAGCACCAGAGAACTATAAGAAAAGCTGCATAATGACGGTGTCAGTCCTCCAGGGCATAGTGAACTGGAGGATCACTGGCCTCCATCTCCTCTGCCTCCCGCAGAAAACCCATGGCTATCCTCCTTTAAGCTCCCTCTCCCTGTAACCTCTTTGTGTCTTGGGCCCAGCACTGTCAATATTAAGGCTGGCTAATGTGATCTAGAGGCAGCTGCAGCACCCTGATTATTACCATGACACAGTCGACTGAGGGTGTAATATCATTAAAAATAAATCAGGTGGTGTGGAGATTTGCTGATGCAAGGAGGGACTTTGAATGACATTAAGAGGGAACAGTGCAATAATTTCATTAGTCAGTTGGGGCACCTTGGAGAATCTGTTAAAGCATTTCCTTTAAGTTGTAGTAATTTAATCTGCTTTCACAATCCTTATCTGGAGGAAGAAAATAGAGAAAATTGACCAACGGTCCCTTTTTTTAATATATAATTAAATGTCTGAATCTTTGGTTTCCAAAAGCACCAGGACAAAATTTAAATATTATTATTATGTTTTAGCGCTGATGAAGAAGGACATTCTTACTCATGATCTTTTTTCTAAGATAAGCAGAGTTGTTATATTCTTATCTAATAGAGGTACTACTATATGATTAGAAATGTGGGTTTTAATAATCAAAGTAATAACGATTATGACAAGGATTTACTTTCAAATGGAGCTGGAAAGAATATGTGTAGTCCATAGTATGGTTTTCAGAAGTTAATTCATTCAGTGTTTAGTAAACAAGTCTGATTTTCCTCATATGAATCATTGGCTATTTTATAAAGTTGTCAAAAATCAAACTATTAAATGCGTACTTGGTAAAGTTCTTGAGCTTCTTGATCTGACTGAAAAGGATACCTGTATAGAGCAGTTACCTCAAAACCCAAGACAATTTGTAATGTTTACAATTAAAGGTCTGATTGTTTGGAAAATACGTTTTAGACATCAGTTTACAAACATCTGGAAAAAAGCAAGAAGATTATATTTTAATTTTTATATAAGCATAATGACGATAATCTTCCCCGAAGCAAATATAGCAGTGGTTACTGTTGGCCTGTTTGGGGTGGATTATTGTTGGAAATGATGAAGAAAACACGAGGCCACGTTAATCCTCTTAAACCGTTTGACAGTGAGCTGTCTGCTCGGCAGACTCATCAGCAATCAGCTGGTGAGACAATATAACGCTAGCATACAAAAATCATTAACAAATCAAAAATATGACAAATATATATGTACCGTAATATATACCTAGATATTTATAAAGTGTGATATAACCGTTTTATTACACTTTGTTTTCGGCTTGTTTGGCGCACCATTAAAGCCACAGAAGCGCCGTTGGGCTCACAGCGAGGGTCTCACATCCCCATTGTTTTGATGCACGAGACGCCTAAACGGTGATTTCAAGGCCCATTGAGCGCGCGATGAATTGTGCCCAAAGTCTGAGGAAGAGGGAGCATTAGCAATTATTGGATAATCCCAAGGAGTGACGCCAAAAGTTGTAAATCTGTTTTCTAATTTGCACAGACAGACAGATAGCTAGATAGCTAGATAGATAGATAGATAGATAGATAGATAGATAGATAGATAGATAGATAGATAGATAGATAGATTGCTGCTAATGTGTTACTAATTCCTATGTTTAGAAGTTGCGCTGGGATCTCCGTTAGGTTACGTTTTAGCGACATCTAGCGATATCTCCATTTTCTCATCGTGTTTCTTTGTTCTGATTTTTCTTGTACAACTGCTTCAAATGTTCTTGTAGAATCGATTGAATAAATAAATTCAAATTTCTATTTCTGATCAGGCATATTTAATAGGAATTCATTCAACAGCTATGTACATTCTCATGTGATTGTGTATCGTTGACGTCTCAAGTTTCCACTGTGTGCATGTTGCACTTGCATTAGCAGTACTGTCATAAAAGCAAAATCATATTCACCCTTCCTAGCACACCTTTCCTCTGCTCCCCTGTGAATAAAATCCCAGTTTACATCTCTTACATATCTGACCCAAATAAAAGCATGTAGAGTCAGCACAGCCAAGCTTATTTCTAAATATATGCCACCTTTTCCACATTCCGCACTTGCTTTCATCCCACTCCTCTTACATTTTGCCTTTCATTTCTACTCATGTTGTTCCCTACATCCACCTCTTCATCATTCACCTACTTTCGTCCCTGAGCATCATCAGCATCACACCACTGCTCGCCTCCTCCTCTGCTCCATGGGACTCACCCAGCTGGCACACTTTACTTCACAGCTCTGTATTCCTTTTTGCAGCAGCCACACCAGCAGCTTTTACCGCAAACTCTCACTAAGTTCAGGTTGTCTTAGATGTCGGGAATGGCTCCTAAAAGAGAACCTTCCATTAAGAAGTCTCCTTCACCAGTGGCCGAAGCACGTCTTGGTCCGCCTTTCCCCTGTTTGCCAGCAACACCTGCAGCTCCAAAACCGATTTCAGAGCAGAAGCCAAGGATGCTGCGTCCTTCTGATTCACCATTCGACCCCAGCACTATGGAGGTGAGTGATTCCTGAATGTTTAGGGTACAAAGCCTGTGTGGGGCATTTATTAAGTGTGAGAATTTGCTCCCATCTTCTCAGACCTCATTTCGATCATGGCATATATACTCTGTCAGCTAATATTTTTTGCTTTGAGGTAGTAAAGAAGAATAACCTACAATTACACCAAATAATTTTAAATTAACACGAATGCAATCATTTGCTAGATTGCGCTCTATTAGAGCGGATGTACTCTATTTTGACCACATTTAATTTTGATTTATAGATAATCTAAGTTGTGAAACAAAATGGGGCACTGAGTGTTGGCTGTCAGTCAGTTTGCCTCCTTGGGGAAGGAGAGCAAGTTCCCTGCTACAGTGTGAGCTATTTTCTTTTTAAAGAGATTCAGTGGCCTACTTTCTAATGGCACTAAGCAACAGACTAGCAGAAAATTTAAAACATAATACACTTTTAAGGTAATTTAACAATTAAAATAGTGAAGGACACCCAGAGTTAGTTCTGTAAAAAAGGAACTGATATTATTCCTTGTACAAAATATGTTTGCAGTAAAGATTTATCCTGGAGTGGCCAACCCAGAATCCAGACTTGAATCCATTTTAACATCTCTGGAGAGATCTGAAAAATGACAGTACAGACAACTCCATCCAAACTGATGGAGCTTGACAAGTACTGCAAAGAAGAATGGGTCAAACTGTCTAAAGATAAGATGCTAAGCTTGCGTCATCATTTTTAAGGTGGATAAACAATGTATTAAGCAAAGGCTGTAGTTACGTGAATGTGTTTTCTTGGCTTTTAAATTTGCAAAACACGCAGCAAAAAAATGTGTAGAATTTTGAAGGAAGACATTAATTTAATACAATTTGGAATAAAGCTGTGACATAGCAACAAGTGGAAAAAGTGAAGTGCTGCGAATACAATACATCAACATGTTACATGTTGATATTGTAACATCAACATGGACTAAGAAGTTGTAGACCAAGAAAGAATCACCACCTGAATCAAAGCCCAATTGATATTTACAGTTGCCCATGTGGTCAAGCCAAATGTCTTTTGAAGAAAGAATTAATAGTTAGATGAAGCCAACTTTACGCTGTTTAGCCTCAATGAAAATAAACATCTTGTGAGGTAAGGTAGAGTCTTACCTCACAAAACACAAAGAAAAGCACCCACAACAAATAAAATCACTTGGTAATCAAGTTTAAATCAACATTTCTATATAAAATGTCAGCATAAATGCATATCACAAACTAATAATGCCTCACATTGGGTTTTGATAATGTGTCTGAGTTTGCCTAACAGTATAGCTTTGCTGCCCCCCTCAGGAACTTTGTGTGTTACGTTGCATTGCATGGCTTTGTGAAGTGAATGCCTCATTTAGCATGTGACAGTACGTAAGCCATGCATGTCCACAGTGGGGTCACAGATGACTGGAAAGTGGACTGCATTGACAGGCTCTTAAGACATGCATCCTCAGTCTATGACCTCACTGACCTCAGGTACATTATTTATGCATGTCCACATATTCTCAAAGCTAATAGCCAAATCAAAGTCACTCTGGTTCTTAGTTGTGGTCAAACTCCCCACTAGAGAAAAAACAAAATTCCAAAACTTCAATAATAAGAAGAACAACAATAATGAACTTAAACTGCCCTGAAAAGATGTGTTGTGTTTTTCAAGTCAGCTTTTCTTTATTGCTATGTTTTTGGATGGTTTGTGCGTTTAGAATTCAAAGATAACCCTTGATTGTGTGTAGCGTATAGGCCATGCGCAGAGACTGCTCCAGAAATTGGTAATGTGCTTGAGTTGGAAGTGGGGTGTCTTGCATTCAGCCAGCACCGTGCAGCAGAGAGACATGTCTATCATACACCAAGTGGAAATTAACAGGATGTTGTTGTTCTGAGTTTGCTCTAAATCTCTATTTTGAACCATGCAGCTTGTTTTCCTGATCTAAATTTCATAGAAAATGTTTCATAGATGTACAGCCAGCAAGGTTTTCAAAGATGGCCATCAATTCTAGGTCATCGTTGCACTCCACCACATGGTATAATATTCTTACCAGTCCACTGAAAACGCTGATGTCATGTCTAAACAAATTTCCCTTCATCCCTTTCTTAAGATTTCTAGTTCTGTTTTGAAGTTTGTTTGGCAAATATTCTTAAATTTCTGATTATCTGATTAACACTGTATGCTTATATTCAGTTTAGTTTTCAAACATTTATCCACTTGTTTTATCTTCTTGCATTTTCAAGCTCAACTTACAGCTCAGTTACGATTCAACTGCAACTCCAGTTGAAAGTTTTTAGCACTGTATTATGATTTTCATCAGCGCTGAATAAAAAATATAAAAAAATCGGGACAAACAACATCATGACAGCAATAAGCAATTGCCATGATTCCCAATATCGTTTTCCAAAAAACAAGTAATAAGAGCCTACAGAAAATAAATAATTATTTTTTTAAAAGTCAGTGACACATTGAAAAATTGTTATTTTAGAAAAAAAAAAGTTTTTGAAATGGTTTTTACATTTGCTTCTTTATTTATTATCGAACAGTGATATAAATTCCCAGACTAAGTTTAAATATGAGAAGCGGTCCAGCGAATGTTTCATTATGTAAAAATACATTTAGCATAACATATCTTAGCAGAAAATGTAAATCTATATTTTATGGGAGCTCAAAATGGAAATATATTTGAGATTCAGTATCGGTCCTTTGTGGTTTGTGTCCAACTTTTTATTTCTATATAAGGAGTGCTGCAGTTGTGCGGTGACGTCACCTCGTCCGTACTCTGCGTCGTGACGCAGTGAAGGCTTTTCTTTCTCTGCGCTTGTAATCGAGCCGTCACATTCTTTGGGTTTCCGTCGCCTCGGACACACCTCAGCCAGCAAAGAAATGGTGGGTTTTTGTCCATTTCACTGGACTTATTGGCTGTAATAGAGTCGGGCATCTAAATGAAAGCGTTTAATAAAGGAGAGGTTAGTTTCGCAGCGCGGTTAACATGAGTTTAAAGATGTGAACGGGTTAGCCCGTCCCAAGCGGAAGTACAACTTTTTCTTGAGCTAGCTTTAGCTTCAAATGATCAGTTATACGATTACCTCATTTTATTACTTAACTGCCTGCGTGTGTGATACATTTTCTGAATGCTATGCAAGTTGGAGGGTTTACCTTTTGAGTCTATCGCAATACCTGTTAAATATGTTCAGTAGCCAGAACGCCTTAAAACCATTTCCTCTCGCCTAATTTCTTCCTGAACAGTCTGACTTCTCGGAAGATCAAATCCTCGGTAAGTGTTGCTTTTATTTACGCATGTGAGAGTCTATCTGTGGGAACATCTCCATTTTCCTCCTGCTTGTTTGGCGCTCCTTCATTCCTGACCCTTAGCTCTTTATCACTATTGTCGATCTGCTCTATACCCGCTTGTTGCAGTAATCCTGGGTTTAGGGTTTTCTTCCTCTGTTTGCGAACTATTTCATCACTTTTTTCCCCCCCACTTGCAACTGCTTGTCCTTTCCAGATTGAATTTAACCTGGACCAGATTCATGGTAAGTGAGGGAAGAACCTCCGCCTTGCTCACAACGCAAAGGCTGTTCAGAGTGTTTAGGGTGTGATCTGCATGTCGGTCTTTGGAGCCGAACGTGTTTTGCATTGTTGTCCAGCTTCGTAATAATGAACATCATTATAATCCTTACCAGGCTTGACGTGTGTTGTACTGTTTTTGTATTCAGATGTTTTGTTTGCAAAGCCCAGACATCTTAAACTCGCATCTCCTCCCATTGGTTTTGTTTCTTCAGGCTGCCATTAACCTCGTTTTGTCTGAAATGATCCGAGTTGCTCATCTCCAGTGTGTGTCCATGTTTGGTGTGGGAGAAAAGCGGTGGATGGGTCTTGTCCCAACACTGGTTTGTTTAAACTTCCCTTGACATAATAGGCCATAGCTGCTCTCACTCTCCACCTACTTTTCTCCACTCCTCTCGCACCAAATATGGTGCTGGGAATTGTGCTAACAGGCCAGAGGGGAAAAGAGACATTCTTCAGAACAGGAGAAAAAAACTCCATAACAGTCCCAGAGCTTTTTTGGTGAATACTTTTCTTCAGAACAGTAGGAACACCCTTCTGCACGGATATTGTGTAATCTGCCCTGTGTCTCCCTGATGTCTGAGTCTGAGCGGCCTATGTTATCATTTTATCTTTACTGAAACTGCAGATGATAGAGTAGGACAGTGCTCTCATTTACAGTTGATAAAGACAACCAAACTCTATTCAACCTAAATTAAATGGATTCAGTTTATTAATATGTAACTTTCCGAAAACATGTATTTTTTGGAGATTTCATTAAGTATTTTGTGGTGGTGTGGCTCTGACAAATTTTTTTTTAATGATAAAAGAATTAAGGAAATGTGTTTGGAGCGGTGGTTCTCTGTTTTTATGCAAAAGCTGCATAGAATGTCAACTGCAGAACGACACCAATGGTAAAGACTTTTAAAACAATGTTTTAACCTCCAACTGTGTTATACATTTTTAAGTGGGCTGAATATCTTCATCTCATTCAGCTGGTATCATTCCAAAAAGAAAATGTGTTTTATTTTTCCTTTGTAAATGCTAGATGATTATTTTTAATAAGTTTTAGTGTAATTTCTCTAGCTTTCAAAAATAATAATAAATATATTTAACACCAATTTATAAAATCAGTTTTCCTTTGCAGCCTTAGAGAAATTTAATTCTGTTGTTCCAGTGACAAAAGTGGCTCTTTAAATTGAATAAATTGCTGACCCTTTTGACCAAAGCGTATTTGTTTTTAAAACGGTCCAGTCAAAGTCTAGACTTGAATCCAAACGAGAATCTGTGAAAGACTTGAAAATGGCTGTTCTGATGCACTGAATCCAGTCTTATGAAGACTGAGCTATTATCAGAATAAATGGTCTTACAATTATGTCTGTACATATAATTTGCTTAGTAATTTACTTATTAGAAAGCTGGCAAAGAAGAGTCTTTTAAAAAAATACATGCAACTGCAACAAAACTTAGTTCTCTTTAAAACAGGGGCTGAGTGCAAATGCAGATCATACTCTTTCTACAAACATTTTAAAACCCCTTTTCCTTTTCTTCCTACTTCATAACCGTGTACTGCTTTGTGTTGAAGTGTGTCGCTCTAATATAGCAAAACAGTAAAAATTTAAGGAAGTTTGAATACTTCTGTAAGGCAAAGCGTTGGCCGACTGTTTGGAAAAACCTGGTGATTTTTGACATGCATGTTTGGTAAATTTGTTCTATGGACACATGCATATTCAAAAAACAGGGGACACTCACAGAGCATGTGGTGTATTAATGTAAAAAATACATATTGGGCAGCTTCCTGTTAATGAAGTTGAAATATTGAGTGCTTGTGACCAGATTACTAACGTAAATATTTTGGTGAATTGAGGAACCAACGAGGCAGTTTGCCTCGTCACCAAGCTGAGCTCAGAGAACAGGATGTTGCTTTCGTCCGTTGTAATAATACATGTAACCATAGTTGCACATTTTAATCACGTTTTTTTTTTTTTTTTTTTTTTCTCCAAAATCTGTACTCTCCAGGTAAAATCCCCTTAAGATGGAAGTGTTCTTATTTGTGATAATCTGACATTTTTCCAAGTCTGCTTGGGCGCCTTCTTATTTTCAGCCCGTGTTGTAATCTTTGTTGTCCACATCCTGTCTGTGCATCACTTCTCTCTATATGCATCAGCTATATTTTAATATTCAGCTCTTTGGCTAACTGGCTTCATGTCTGTGTGTGCCGCAGAGTTTAAGGAGGCGTTCCTGCTGTTCGACAGGACAGGAGATGGGAAGATCAGCTACAGCCAGTGTGGCGACGTGATGCGGGCCCTGGGACAGAACCCTGTCAACGCTGAGGTGCTTAAAGTGCTGGGCAACCCCAAGTCTGAGGGTGAGAGAAAAGTCACAAACTTGGAGGCTTAAAGGGATATAAACCCCGGTTTTGTGGGTGTTGTCAGCTCTGTCAGTGGCGCAAGGAGAAGAGTTATTAAAAGCTCATGTTAGCGTTAAAGTTTTGTTGTGCAGAATGTTCAGTTTTGAGATGACTGATGTTTCTTGTCCTCACTGAGACAGAGAAAACGGCAACATGATACCAAAGGTATATCGCAGCGTCTGTGGCCGTATTATACCTTTGATTTTATAAGCACCTGTTGTGTTATGTTAACATTAACTTCTCAGCTGATCCATTTAACAGGAAAAGATCACCCACACGTTCAGATCGCTCCAAATATTACTCATATTCAACCTTCATATTCAACAGTCTTGGCTGAGGAAAAAAATCAATTTCCTGTAATGTAAGGCTTTTAATCCCTTCAGCCTGATTTGTCTAATTTCTAGGCTTTTTCCTCATTTTGCAGAGATGAACACCAAGATGCTCGACTTTGAGCAGTTCCTGCCCATGTTCCAGGCCATCGCCAAAAACAAAGATCAGGGCTCCATGGAGGATTTTGTGGAAGGACTCCGTGTTTTTGACAAGGAGGGCAATGGCACAGTAATGGGAGCAGAACTACGTCATGTGCTCACCACGTTAGGTACTTCACGTTTTTATCTCTAGTCACACATCAGTTTGCAAACCGAAAGACGATGACAATAAAACATAAATTATTATTATTATTTGTCACATTAAAATGTGCATCGTTTTGGTTCATCAGGTGAGAAAATGTCAGAAGAGGAAGTGGAGACACTGCTGGCTGGACATGAAGATGCAAATGGATGCATCAATTATGAAGGTGAGAAGAAAACAGACTTGTGTTAAAAGTAACTTCTGCTTCCAATAAGTCTGAAGTAAAGCCGCTTCATTTAATCCAGCTTTTTGTAATATTTAAATGTTCTTAATGCAAAGCACTGTTTGCTAGTAGGTTTCAGTTTTTAATGCTAGGTTAATTAAGTGCAAACATGTTTAGCATTAAAGTCTGCATTTCCTCTGATCCACAGAGAAACCCTGAGTTCTAACATGATTGAAGTGATAAAAACCAAATGCCGTTTGATCAGCACATCACATTAGAAATCAGGATTTTTTTTTCCTTTGTTCATTAAAGGCATCAAAGCCAAAAAGTTATTTTGCATCAGCAAATTGCACGTTTCTTGGACTACAATCTACAGTTTATTTTATTGACTTTTGTGATTAATGTTGTTTGAAATTAGTCAAGATTGTTTATTTGATAATCTGTAGTTAGAGATAGAGCCTTATTTCTATTCAAGCACTATATAAATGACCACAGAGTTGGGAGCACTGTCTGAATGTGCTCCCATTCAGTGAAGTTTGAATTTGCCTCAAGTCTTTCTGAACAAAAAACAATTTAAAAGTGGATCACAAGAAATGCAAATGTTTTTGTTGTAGTAAACGACCAGCGATATTTAACATGCCATCTCTGGATGGTTCGTATCATTTGGTTGTGTCTTTATCTGTTTTAATCAAACTCTTTAAGAAGCTGTGATCAGAAGTTAATTGCTGACAATCTGTTAAATGTTCTTCCTCCACAGCATTTGTTCGTCACATCATGTCAGGCTGAGGGCCGGTACGGGCATTGTCCAAACCCGGGGGATGACACCTCCAGGCTTTCCTGCTACTTAGTTCCTAGACGCTAGTGTGTTTTTCTCATCGCATAGTTCATATTGGCTAACAAACGATTGCTTGTTGAAAAGTAGACATCACTAGTAGGCTGTGCGGGAAAGCCTGGTGGTCTCTCTCCCCCTGCAGACGTGAGGCTTTAATGCATATAGCCTCCTGCTGCTCTGTTTTGCTCCTGCAGCCTTCTGCCTTGGCCCCTGGCTGCAGCATGCTCCTCTGCATGTGTCTATGGCTCCTCCACAGGTTGTATGGAGATATGGTGGACAGAATGGGAAGAGACTGGTCTCATTCAGGGAAAGCCTGGTGGTCACTTTTGACTGTGGTGATTATTAGACAGCGCTGCTAATTTCATTTGCATGTTAATGGGGCTTTTTAAACTTGGTGGGTTTTTTTCCCCCCTTTTATTGGTTTTATATGTGTTAGATCTATCTAGCTGCTGTCCTCTTACATTTACATTACATTATGTATATCATAGCCACCAGATTCAGGAGAGTGGACCAGTCCCTTTTATATTTTTTTACTAACCAGAGAGTGTAATGGAGTTGCTCTTATGCTGACTGTTCTCTCTTATTTACTGATGGAAACTGAATTTGTAGCTGGCTGCTCTGACTGGACTGTAGCTCCCCTGATCTTCTCCTCCTTTTTCTCTGCTTCTCAGCTAGAGGAAGGCAAACAGCGAGGACGGCTTCTCTAACCAACTTTCTGTGGATCTTAGAGGACCAATAGCTTTGGCTGAATAGGAGATAGAAATAATTACCTCACCTTTTTCCCTGTCTGTCATCTTCAATTGACCCCCTTTTCCTGGCTCTAGATGGGGTGACTATGGGAGATCTGCCTCCAAATGCAGCATCTTCAAGAGGAGCAGCTCTTGGTCCTGCATGCTGTAATTGGAACAGATCTCCAGTTTTTAGTGAGAAAACTAACTCTCTGTTTTTTTTCTCCCTCTCTCTCTCTGTTTCAGAACTCGTCCGGATGGTAATGAACGGATAAAGAGCATCACAGTTGTTGTTTTTTTTTTTGTTTGTTTGTTTGTTTTTTTATTTCTGCAGAATCACATTCCTATATATTTCCATTTAGCTTTGCCAGCTCACCCCAAACTTTTACATGAGTTTATTTTACAGTTTTAATTTAAGAAGTGCCTTTACATTCCCTAGAAAAGACCCATGAAGCACCATTTTTAGATCTATTCACATGTATAAACCTTGAATTCATTGACGATTATTTGTGCTTGCATAGTTTGTAACATTTCGAAATGCACCATAAGCTGTAACGATGTAACTAAAATTGGGCAAGACAATAATATATATCACATATACATATTTCTATGACTTGCTTTGGCTGTAATGTCCCAGATAGATTCATAAAAATGATCTAAAACTGTAGTTTGAAACATTACAAAGCATTCCCCATGTTATAAATTTGGCCCAAAATTTGTTGCTGCATTTAAATAAATGCGTTTTCCTGAAATGCTTTTGTGTCTAAGTGGATTTTATTTATTTTTGTATTTTTGGCTGAATATAGCTAAATACACTGTGGCCAACTGGGCGATACTTCAATTTAACAGATGTGTAACATATGTAGGAAAAAGCTCTGAATATTTTTCACATATTGTATGAATTCTCACTTATTATGTGTGAGAGCTCATGTATTTCTGCAGGTTAAAGAGGATCTAAGTCAGTCCTAGCAAGGTGAATTTAGTATGTGAAGCAGTTGTGTGTAAAATATCTTGGAGAGAAATGTCTTTTTTTTTTTTTTTTTTTGCAGTTTTCTCATGTCACACAAGAGGGCAGTGTTGCTACTTTGATCTCGTCTCTGTGTTAAAGCAAGAACCATAACATACTACACCGTTTATATACAGTTGTGATCAGATCTGTGTTAAGCTAAATATAAGACTTTGTGTAGCCATTTCTAGTCTATTGTTTGCAATAAATGCTTCAACATAAGCGTTGCAGGATTTTTTATTTATTTTTTTTCATAATTTTCTTAGATACAAAGGCGTTAACATAAGCGGTAAAAGGCTGTTCAGTGGTTTCATGACCTTTTCCTGCATTTTCTTCTCAAGCAGTCACAACTATTTCCCCTCATTAGGCACCACCGCCGTCAAACAGTGGAGATTGTGTGTGAGGTTGTGGGGTGCTTCAGGTTCGGGAGGGTGTCATAGTCCACCACTGAATAGGTTCTCTACTAATTACTGTGTGTGTGTGTGTGTGTGTGTGTGGTCGATAGAAGTCAAGGCTATTGATTATTTTAATCCTCCTATTTGTGAGTCTGTGATCCTCGTGGCTCTGCATTCGACAGGGGAATCACTAATGGGCCTCGGCGCAGCCCGTCTCAGACCTCTCCCCGTCCAATTAACTTTCAACTGGAATCTGCCAGGAGAGAAAGCCGTGGGCTGGGCCCAGGCTTGGTGTGCCTTCATCCTTCTTCGTTTTTTTTTTTTTTTTTTTTTTTTCCCTGCTCGGAAGCAACAGATTCTCCAAATCCTTCACTTCAGGAATGACACCAACTCTACTCTAATTAAATTTTTTTTTTTTTTTTTTAATAAAATTCCTTTATGATGGAGAGGATATTTGAGCATTCTGCCTGATTTTAAGAGGATGATGTGGGTTCATTTCTCTATAAACATACAGATAAATCTGTGAGGCATTGTGGGATTTGACAGTTATTTGATGACAGGTGTGATTTAAATTTCATGACGTTGTTTAAACTTTTTTAAAAAAATATAAAGGAATTTATTTCAGCAATACACAGAATCAGTGCAAGACTACTGAATGATGTATTACTCATAATTAATTATCTGATGTTTCTTTTCCCTATTAGTTAAGATTGTGAACTAATTTAACTAAATATGTCTTTAGAAATGTAATATTTTCTTTTAACTTGTTTTGTATCGTTTTTCTTTTATTACAATAATAACCAAACTAGCCAATCAAAAACTTACTCTTGGCTACAATAAATTAGTTAATATAAAATAATTAAAAAAAAAAAAAAAAAAAAGCTTGTGGTTTTAGCTGGCAGGTTAACAACCAAATAGAAAATAATGTCAACTTGAATATTTCAAACAGACTTCTTATTTTTTGAGGCAGTTAAAAATGTCACAGAAATAGTTACAAATACATAGTTTTTTTTTCCTGCATTACTTATTTATGATTTGTTTCAACATATGCAGGGCTTAATCATACAGTGAATATGCTGAAGAAGAGATTTTGTGCTTGTGTACAAAAGAGAGTGAGACAAACATACAACATTTATAAATCAAATACAAAGTTGTCAATGAACAAACCTGACAAAATATTTGTACAAATATTGAACCCACTCCATGGTCTTATTCCTCCTGTGTTTTTCTTTCTTTCTTTCTCTTTTTACAGTAATTCCAGTAAATCTCCAGGCTTATCGAACACTGAACCAATTTGTTTGTAAAATTGATCTCTGTATACTGTTACCTTTAAAAAGTATCAATGGTCTGGACTTTGTTGATCCGGGGTGCATGATAAGCTGAGGCCTATGAAGCTGTGCTGGTGTTTGGGTCAGATTGTGTCCTGAGACATATTGAAAATCCATTTTGCAGCAGGCAGAGGCTTGTGGTCAGCTTCGATCTTTGCCCTGGGTTCACACAACTGTCCCGATCGACGGTCGCCTCGAATAAAACTGAGCGTGAGGACATGCTGAATGTGCATGTCGGTGTTCTACGCTGATCTTTGCCAGGTTGACAAATAACACGCAGAAACAGACAGGTAGAGTTGGTACGGGTGTTTTAATAGCAATTGGTCACTCAACCTTCTAAATCCAGACTGCCCATCCCGAAGTTGGTGTGTTTACATGTAATGAAAGTAAAACAGTCATTGCAAATATCTGTAATGCCTGATACACTATTTAAAACACCGAACAAGTGACTTTTATTCACTCATACAAATACTCTCACTCACAAAATGTACTCAGCAAAAAAAAAAAAAAAGAAAAGAAAAAAAAGATATTTACACAATACATGATATGTTCTTGGGGTTTTCCTTTTTAGTGCCACTCTAAAGCTTTTGACACTCCTGACAAAGATGTAGCTATAGCAAAAAAAATATTAATAATAAATCATGTTTTAGCTCAGGTAGGATTAACACATTTATACTGACTTGATAAGAACCCAAGTACAGTTAAGTTTTTTATTTTTTTTCACTTTCTTGAAATTCAGAAGTTTGGCACTTTCATCCTGACAGAACTGAATCTGGTTTAAAGGCCCTCTAACACCTTGTCAGCTTCGTACACAAATCTGTGTGCCTCAGATAAATGCCACTTCATAATTACTCTGGTGATTTGCACAGGATTATAGTACATTTCAAGATACCTGTTTGGATTCAGACTTAAATGTCTTGAGACATTGTTTCAATATTTTTTTTTTTACCTAAAATTGTTTCTATTTTATAATGTCTCTCACAAGTTCCTCCTGTCGTAAAACACAATATGATGCTAAAACCCCCATAGGATGTTCTCTCTCTCTCTCTTTTTTTTTTTTTTGTCCAAAGCATGGCCAAAAGCATACAGCAATGTTTGTTTTTATTTCATCAGACCGCAGGACATAGGTCTAAAAATATTGACCTCTTTGACCCAATATGTAGACAAATAGAAATCACACTGTTTACATTGATTTTGGATTTATGACTTCTTCTTTTCTGAAGGGCTTTTCAGAGCAACAGGCTCATTTTACACATGATCCGTCTCCTTTTTGAACTGTATCTTGACTCGATATTTGCACACTGTTTATACATGCTCATAACTCGTGTGGAGGTACATAGATATTTTCCGAATATCTTGCGGGATATGTTTTTGATTTTTTTTTTTTTTCCCTTTATGTCACGGAGGTAGTGTTTCAAAAACATATCCACAGGTTTGCTCGCATTTCATCTAGAGGTTTCCAATTAGCCTTGTTGATGCTTTCAGAGCAGTAACCTTTGCAGCTTTCTGAAAATGTTTAAATGCATAGTAATTTTACTATAAACTTCCGAATTAGAAGGAAGTGATAATGAAGCCTCTGAAAATCATCTCTCTAATCATTATGACATTCATTAAATAGACATTTTTGTGGTAATCCTAACTGAGCTAAAACATAAATGGCTTAGTCTGATTTAGACACTAGGAAAATTAGAGCTATGTGTCTTTCGACACACTGCTGTATGCAAATGCATGATTTAAATGACATAAAAGGTTATTTTATTTTACTTTATTGCAGAAGCATAATTTCACACAGCCTTCTTTGTTCCAGTCTCAGTTGTTTTAAAGCTTTAATTATGTTTGGCAACTGAGTAGAAGCCATTTCTTGAATTTTATGACTTATGAAGACGTTTTCTTTTCTTTCCTGTTTGGAGAAAAAATGTAAGAAGAAAAAAGGTATGCAAACTGTTATGTTGATATACTTGGGCAAACAAGAATGTTTATGGATTACTAATAGAAGATCCTTTGCGGTTTGAGAAATTGAAATGTAAAATACACATTAAATAAATACTTCATAAACATTTAATTTATAGAAATTGTGGCTCCAGTGATTTTCAAATGAGGAAGCATTTTTTCCCCCCCCCGCTAAATAAATTTAATCAATTTGATGGTTAGATTTTTTTTTTTATGTATGAATGTATTGCTTCTGCAGTAAAAATGAAGTGACTTTCAAGCGTTTTGTACATCTTTACCAGCAGTGGAGGCAAATGTGAAGGGAGGGGCGCTGTTTGTTGCTACATGTATGATTATGATAACATTTTTCTATCAGTTTTGTCTCATCTCAGATCCAATCTCAAAGCGATCTAATTTATTACAACAGAAGTGTGAGTCCTTCTGGGTATGCTTTGCTCCGAAGCAGATGCCGAACCATGAAATCAGAAATTCTTGAAATCAGAGATGGCTAAATATGCATTCACCTCAAAATGTCATTTTATCACCATTATTGCATTTCAACTATCCAACTTATGGTGTTTATTGTGTCATCGTTCTCACCATGTACGTTAATAATAGATTATATTACAATACTTTAGATATTTCTGAGCCTCGTTGTTAAATAGTTATTTTAAGCTGTCC